AATTAATGGGTGCCAAAATGTTGGTTATCCACAATGTTAGGGAATGGGAAAATGGAAATTAAGACCAGAGCATCTTCCGAACAAGAGCTGCCTAAATGTACAGATAGTCCTCGAGATACAACAGTAATGAAGTCTGCTCATTAGTCACATGTCACAATGGCTGTTAAGTGAAGCATCTCATTTAGCAATCCCCCCATCCCTGCTCTCCCGAATAAATTGCTAAACAAACAGGCAGATCATTAGGTGGAACATGGGGGGGGAGGGGTAGGCCTTGGCGGCCTAGCCTGCCCTAGTCCTCCCCCACGCACTCTGTTTCCTGCCCCCTTGGGTCTCCACAGGCCTTTTCCCACTCCCACTGGGTAACCCCAAGTCTTAGGCCTGATTCCCAAACCACCATACCAAATACCCTCTTGCTCACTTACACCTCACACTTAGAGCTGTGTACAAGCAATCACAAATGTTCACACTACTGCCTTACATACTATGGTCACTATATCACTAGTTTCAATTGTTCTTAGAGAGATACAACTGAAAAATAGAAATCAAGGCAGCAAAAAGAAAATATTGAAATTGTAAATTGAGGTTTAAACTATTTTCCACTCAATCCAACATTTTGTGGATCAACTCAAGTCTTTTATAGAAGTTCTAATTAATTATTAATTATTTACTTATTTTATATATTAAATTTAGAAACAGCCTATCTCCTTCAGAGAGGAAAAAAATGAAAAAAAAAACCACAAAAATATACTAAGAAAACTATTTTTGTTGGTTTCTCTTAACTTACAAGATGAAAGTGAATAATAAATAAAAACAAATTACTGAAAATGTCTTATTGCTTAAATCAGTCTATATCAGTGGTGGGTTCCGGACAGTACAGCCCAGTATGGGTGTGCCGGTGGTAGCTGGGAGCAGCGGCCACCGTACCAGAATGGTGGCTCGTTTGGCCCACCCGCCCGTCCGCGTTCCTTACCGCTTTTTGATGAAAATGGGCCAATAGTGCACGCGCGCAGAGTGTGTGGTTCCTGCACTACCTCAGCTGAGCAGCTGAGTGTTGCTGGGTGGTGGCGTGCAGCGCACGTGCCTGACTAGGACGCCTGCCCCCGTCGCAGTGTACCGGTTGCGAGGGGAACCGGAACCCACTACTGTTCTATACATTATATGAAGGACTGAGTCCCAACCACAGTACAAAGAAATCTTAATTTTTCAATTACTACTTGCTACATTTAATATGAGTTGCAACCTGAAATTTAACAGACACTATACCTACAAAATCTAAAGAAAAATTAACCAAATGGAAAGAAGCTTTGCTATAAAAGTAAAACATGATGCAGTTAATAAACTTTTTATACAATCAGGCATTTTCATTTTTTTCTTTTTTGTAGCTTTAATGACTAATATTAAAATAGATTTTAAAATGATAGTAAACCAATATGCAAGTAACAGCAAAGATAATCACTTCTCTCGACAATAAATTCTTCAAATTTGATCCACATTTGGAACAACCGCTAGACATTGTGGAGTCATATATAAAGAAGGTCCATTTGAAGCCAAGTTTCATAAGTAATTCACTACAATTAAAAAATTTAAAGGGAAAAAATTATGTCCTCAGAAACATAGGCAACTGCTAACAAAAGAAACTTTTCAGTAGCTAATCTGCCATTTATTATTTTATCAAAAATACTTTCCTGACCAATTATACTAATTTTATAGGCTACTTGCCATTATCAACAAAATATATTTTAGTGCACACAAAATATAACAATACACTAATTATTTGCAATTTATCTTCCACAAATTATTATGACCTAATAATAGAGGAGCAAAATAGCAGAAGCAAACTAGGTATTTGCCTGGGATCACACAACAGAGATCTGAAAACATTTTGCAAGCAATAACAATAAAATTAATAGGGCAGCAGACTCTATGGTTTAAGAGATCACTTATAATTTTAAGATTATAAATTAAAGATCTGTACCTAATGAAATATATGGCATGAGAATGAGAACTAAATACTTGTTTACTTTAAAGTATTTGAAAAAGCTTGCTGTATTGAATAGGAAATCTCATGTGAGAATATAACCAATAAAAAAGAAAAGGTTCATTTCATAATAAATCAGGAGCACAGGAAACACATTCCTGTTTGCATTACCTATGGCTGTTTCCCCAATTTGCTTCTATGATCCAGCAATACATTAGGTCAGTACTACAAGGCTCTCTGCTACTGTTAGCTTTTTATCTTGTCAAAATGTGGGGTGCAGAATGTTTCTGTAACAGTCTTCAAAACAGTTCATTCTTTCAGTTAATTCACTTACCATATGTTTCAAAGCTCCATAAATCTGCAGGAGAAATTCCTGTAATTCAGGCAAGTGAAGGCAGACATCTTGCTGAGATTCTAAAGTGGTGATCTGATCCCACTCAAGAGTCTTGTTCAGCCAAAACTCAATGCTTGAGTTAGAGACTCCACTATCTTCAACCATCCTGTCACCTTAATGGGGGGGGAGGGGGAGGGAGGAACAAATGAAAAAAGCCTTTCTCTTAGCAACTATTAATCACTCTTATTACATTA